CTTAAGATTTTTGACATTTTCAAATTTTTTGTATAGTATTTTTTTTCTTTTTTGTTCATTTTGGTTACTACTTGCATATGAAAATTTTACAAGAGCTTTTGCTTTTGATTTGTTTGAAAGCCTGTGCACAAAAAACCTGTGTTTTTTTAGAAAATATGCCAAATATGTTCAATTAGAGTCAGAATTTTGGGGTTATTCGCGATATTTTTCAAATAATTTTAAAGTTTTTCATGACCTTCTGGTGTTTGAAAGCTTGAATTTTTGAAATTAAAAAAATTTTCCAAAAATTTTTAACACTATTAAAATTTTTTAATTTTAAATTTATTTTCCTATTATCTTCGAGAATAGATTGAAAAATAAATCGCGCTTAAAAGTATTATGGCTGCGCTTCAATAAAAGTCAAAAAAGCTGCCTGCAACCACACGGAAATTTATTGTTTATAAACAATACTTGTATATTTGAATATTTACGTATGTATTCAGACGAAGAGGTTGCGGTTGACGTCGATATCGGTACATATACTATACAAAAGAGTATAAGCTATAAACAATTAGCAATTGATATGCAAAATAAATTTCAAATAAACAACACAATAAAATGCTCTAYATGCATCAATTGAAAGAAATTGCTATAAAAATTTATTTTTGCGCAATATACATATTTTGCGTATGTACATGTACTTCCTTATATGTGGGTATCGGTGGAAATACAATAACAATATACTCACAGCCTTCAGCGAGACATTTTTATTGCTTGTTTTAAGAAATACAGTTTTTTAGTGCTTTTTATTAACCCCTCGAGAAAAATGCGCGAAACACACATTAGAAAATTCTTTTTTGTGTGTTTGATCATTTGACGCTTCTTTTTATTGTTGATCAGTTCAAAACTGATGAATTTCTACAATCAGTGTGAAATTACTGATAAGAGCGAGACACATAAATTCAATTGAACCTATAGTGGCAGTGTTTCATACAAAAACTTGATTTCGATATTTCCATTTGTATGGCAGCTATATGCTATAGTGGTTCGATTTGAACAATTTTTATGCGAATGTACCGTTATTTGATAGACAAATTCATACAAAATTTCGTGAAGATAGCTCGTTAAATATAGAAGTTTTTCAGATAACAACTTGATTTGGATTGTTCATTTTGTATGACCACTATATGTTATAGTAGTCCGATTTAAATAATTTCTTCTGCGAATGTACCGTAATTTGGAAGAATAATTCGTGCAACATTTCGTTAATATATCTCATCAAATAAAAAAGTTTTCATACAACAACTTTATTTTGATATTTCAGTTTGCATGGCAGCCATATGCTATAGTTGTCCGATCTGTAAAATTTTTTAAAATATTTTAGTGTTGCCTTCGCCAATAATCCCTGCCAAAATTTCGTGAAGGTATCTCATCAAATTAACAAGTTTTTCACACAAAAATTCTTCTTTGTTCGTTCAGTTTGCATGGCAGCTATATGCTAGGTGGTCCGAACTCAAATATTTCTCCAGATAATTTAGTACTGCTTTCGAGAATAATCTCTACTAAAATTTGGTGAAGATATCTCGTCAAATTAAAAAGTGTTTCAAACAAGATTTCTTTTTCGATTGTTCAGTTTGTATGGCAGATATATGATATAGTGGTGCGACATCGGTGGTTCCGACAAATGAGACGCTTAATTGAGATAAACGGGTGTAGAAAATTTCAAAGTGATATCTCAAAAACTGCGGAACCAGTTCGCATATAAAAAAAACAATGGGACAGTTTTAAATTTTAAAAATTATATTTAATTTATCTTTTTTTTCTAAAGTAAAGAAAAAAATATTTAAGAAATACGTATTTAGCATTTTAATTATATCTATTAATTTTTTTTTTATTAAAAACTTTTCAATAACTGCACCACTGTGCGTAGTTTTATAAGTGTTAATACTATTCCCCAACTGGTCGCACTGCGAACAGCGCTACAGTGCCATTGGTTTGCTCCCCAACGTGGTCTATATCTATAGATATTTATACCATATGTATGTATGTATGTATGTTTATACATTTATAAATATATCATGTGAATATGGGGCGCATATGTTTCCGAGTTTAAATACGAATTTTGTGCAGAAGCAGAGAAAAATCGAAAATTATTGTTATAAATTAAACAAAGCACTAAATTATAACCACGAGAAACGGATACACGCACACACAGCAGTACAAACATATAATTTTTTATTATTTCTATATGGCGCACACATGTTTAATTGTGGCTAGCCGCAAAAGCGCACACACACMTATGCAGATATTGTAAGTATGAAAGCAAAAAAAAGTTATCTGCATGGAAATTACAAAAATTACAGATGTTTGATTTGCCAACGGCTGCCACACACCCCCCCACAAACCCCACAACTCGCGTGCGTGCGGTCGATCGAAAAAAAAAATTAGAACATTTATTAGCGGTTCTGGGCGTGGTTGTGGTACGTTGATACATATGAATGTGCCTATATTTATATCTGCGTTTTTATTTAATTTTTTTTTTGTAACCTGGTGCAGTTACTCTTGACTTACCGCAAAAATCATATTTTGTACGCCAAATGGAATGGGCGTTAAGCGCGTAAAGAGCACGACTCTGAATGCCTTTGGTCCCGATATGACGCGCAGTATAGCGCGTGCAGTCTCATTTTTAATTATTCTGAAAAAGTAATGAAACATTGTTGTAAGAAAAACATGTGCATATCATCACCTAAAATGCAAAACAACRTAACATCACTTTTCATAAGTTGACAGGCGAAGGAATTACRATRTAATAGAAACCACTCATATGGAAAGAAAATTTGAGTTTTGGTTACAAAATGGTTAGATATTGGTTATAAAATGCTTATAAATAGGTTATAAAAGGGTTATACATTGGTTATAAAATGGTTATATAATAGTTATATATAACGGAAGCTGAAAATTTAATGCTACATAAATGTAATATGATGTAGTGAATCGTAAGCAATAAAAAAATCAATTTCGATTTTTTTGGTGATATGTTGTTTTGTATTTTAGCTAACGATATGTAGTTAGTACAAGTAGATATTTAAATGGAACAAAAAGGAAAGTAAGATTTTTTTTTTGGTATTTTTTGGAACAATATTTGTTTACTTATACGGAAACCACATAAAAATTAAAAAATAGGCAATTCAAATGTTTTAAAATCGAGGTGAAATAAAGCTGCAATGATTTGTTTATTTTCATGCTGAAGTTCCAACTGTTTCCTGTGTTTTTGTGGTTTGAAARCGGGGGCAATCTGTAGTTTTTTTAGTTTCTTTCAAACAAATAAATTCACTAAAATATTAACATACAGTGTCTATCAATAGGGATGGCCCCGATGTGTGGAAAATTGGAAGAGTGGTGCCACCTGGGAAACCCACCAATAAAGAGCAGTCCTATCGTYCGATAACTCTCGTCCCCAGTAGTGAAGACACTTGATGTCTTGCCACACCCGACCATCACGCGCCACCTGTGTCTAGCAAACCACCAGCATAGCTTCCGAAAAGTGCTCAGCACCACCACAACACTTAGCATGGAATCAACCAAAAACCGAGRAAAGACGAAGATCTTCGTTGCGTTGTATTTATCAAAAGACACAATGCTTCTTGAGAACATCGAAAAATCTACACTCCTATAGGGTAGAAAAGGTGTACTATGAAATACCTGAGTGGTCGACAATCATCCGTACTGTTTCGARACAAAAACTCTAAATTGAGAAGAATTAAACAGGGGGTGCYGCAGGATGGTGTTCTTTCCCCGCTGCTGTTTAATTGCTAAATCTCGAAACTATCTCCATCACCAGATGAAATTTCTATCACGTCGTACACTGAGGTTTGGACTACAATAACGTTGGGCAATGGAATCGATGCCAGACGAGGAAGCTTCAGGCAGAACACWGCACTCCGGACTATAACGGGATGCCAAATTTTGTCAGTGCGTTGAGTAAGGTTTGCCATTTCATTATGTCATATTTCGGWACAACACTTGGAAATCGTCCAAAATTATTAAGCAAAAATTCACGAATTTACGTCCATTTTTCACAATTGCCAGCATTCAGCGCACCATATCCGAAATGCTTCACCGGATCATGGAGATGGAAAAGGAGGAGTAATTTTCTGGTTGAGTAAACTCAAGAAAGACCGTAGTTTCTGCAGAAGCGAATATAACGACAAGATCTATGAAGGTGGCTTAGGAGTACAAGAGAATCTACTATAAAAACAGGTAGTAGGACAAAAGAAAACACAGCGGCTGCACAATGGTGGGTAGAGCATAACGGCAAAATCAAAACTGGCAGGCCAGCACTTCAAATAACCCCCCCAAGCGGTAGGAATGAGATTTCAGCATGTTGAAAATAGTAGGGAAGAGCTTGCTGTGTCGAAAAAAAAAWAATAAATAACTTGGGTGTTTTCTAGGGCGATCGTAAGGAAGAATATTTCCACACTTGTTTAAGGGGTTATATCTACTTGCGAGTCTCAAAAAATATATTTTWTGCATATATTTATATCRATTGTACATRCTTTGTGTTCAGYTTGTATGKAAGCTATATGCTATAGTAATTCGTTCTGAACAATTTTTTTGGAGATTATATTGTTGCTTTAGAAAATATACAAAATTTCAAAACGATATCCTAAAAACTGAGATACTGCTTCGTATATAAACAGACAGATAGACGGAGAGACAGACGGACATGGTTAAATTGACTCAGCTCGACATAGTGATCATTTATATATATACTTTATAGGATCTCCGACCCTTCCTTCTGGGTGTTACAAACTTCGTGACAAAATTTATTGGCATTGTTCATCCTCTTCACATTACATAAACTGATTAAATCATTATTTCAAGTGCTAACTTCTGATGATTGATCGCGTGCCTTTCTTTTTTTTATCATGTACCGCACACATATTCGCAAAGCAAATAGCACAAAAAGATAAAGGCTGAAAGCGTGTGTAAATTGACAGTAAACGATAACATTAAATAAGCTGTTTGGRTGTCGAAATTAGCAACAGTACCGTGATATATCACTTAATGATTAAAACAACTGTTTATTCTCGAACTAACTATATCTCCACATAACAAAACAAACTTATTGTGTTTAAAAACATTGYAAATATCAATAGATATATAGACTAAGTTAGATAAGCAAAGGTGAGATCATACGAGCTATTTATAGAACAGTAACCATGATAGAGCTATGCTGCTTCTTCTTTGCTTTTTTGTTTTACTAAGAGCTGCTTTCTCAATGTCTGGTTAGCAGCCATCTGKCWGTYCAGTTCTGGTTAACTTAACCAAGACTAATTTTTTCGGTCCAGAAACTATTTTTAACCAGAACTGAAATGACAGCCAGCTATTAAGCAGACATTGAGTAAACGGACCTAAGTGGATTTAAGTGATAGGAGCCGCTGAACTGAACAGCAGTGTCTACCCTAAAAGTGAAATACGACTGGGGTACGAAGATGGCATTGACATCGTAGGCCTTAACAACGAAGTCGTAAGTGCAGCTTTTTCCAATATRGAAAAAGAAGTGAAAGAGGGTGGTTTTGTGATGCACGTAGGCAAGACAAAGTACCTGGAGRCCACACAYAAAGATTCCTCGCGTTTTGGTCACTGTTAGTAGCTCTAAATTTGTAAAAAAGTGAAGAACTTTGTCGCGAAACCAGCAWTTTTAACCTGAAGATCAAATGTAGAATAACTCTTGTCAAGCAGTGCTACTTTAGGAACTGTATGCAATTGAGAAGCATGAGAGATGATAAAGGCYCTAGAGCATTCGCGATAAGTGTTCTCCGCTAGGTCTTTAAAGTCGTCCAATGGATGGAACCACGAATTTTACGAGTTCTGCAGCTATTTGGCGGTGAGAAGACGAAAATAAYATAATCAATTGGTAAAAAGTATACTACCATTGATGATAACATTTTTATGAGACCTTATCGATTTTGCTTTTATGACATTGACTTGCAGTTTAAATGTTTATGAGTAGTATAAAAAATTATATACAAAAATTTASGGAAGGTGGTGTGAGGGTAAAAAGTACAGTAACGGTAAATGCAATTTATGATATCTGCTATGTTTCAAGTAAAAAACATGCATGCGAGCTTTTGAACTTGTATCGCAGTTATCACYGGTTCAAGCAGGCGCGTGATTAGAGCATTGCACAATTACTGAGTTCGAAACTGGGTCAGCAGTTAATTCAAGCGCTAGACCCGCTAGTATAGCGGAATAGGCGCGTGTACCTACACACTATACAAAACTAGTGCCCATTTGCATAGAATAATTGATGATGTCGGCAACACGGAAAATATACAATTTCAATGCATTCATACATTTGTAAAAAGGTACCGGCAGCGGTGATTTCCAATTCTATTGTGTACTACAATATATGACGTATGCATAGCAGAAATCACCCATTAGCGCTTGATGTTAGTGTCGGCTGACAGCCACTACAGCAGACCTTATTTATTTCATTTAATTTCTTGTTGATCGTAATTGACAGACAGACAGACGGACATWACAATAACACCGTTTAGCSGACAAATCGCTGGGGTAAACAACACGCTTTATACCTGGCGCTKAGGCAGAGTGGGAGTGGTACACACTTTACTAACGAAATTGCTTAGTAACAACTGCTGTGAAACGTGTGCAAATATATGGATATTAATGGATATAATACCATAAGGCTACAATGAAGAATGCTTTATTTCATATCTAAGCGTTTGCCAGCCGATAAGTAGATACTGATGAAAAATATTATATAATAATTGAAAGTATAAAGCTTGAAAACAACTAAAATTCAATTTAAACAAAGTAAACGTTAACTTCGGCTGCACCGCAGCCATAATACCCTACACAAATACAAAGATTTCATACAACCACTTGATTTGGATTAGTCAGTTTATATGACAGCTATATGCTATAGTGGTCCGATTTGAACAATTTCTTTAGTGATTGTACCGTTGCCTTGGACAATAGTCTATGAAGAATTGTGTGAAGATATCTCGTCAAATAAAAAAGTTTCCCATACAAGGACTTAAGTTTGATCGATCACTTTCTATGCCAGCTATATGCTATAGTGAACCGATTTTAACAATTTCTTCGAAGATAATAGCGCTGTCTTGGGAAAACAATCTAAGTCAAATTTCGTTAAGATATCTCTTCAAATAAAAAGTTTTTTTTTTTTTATACAAGAACTAGATTTGGATCGTTCAGTATGTATGGCAGTTATATAGTATGCTATATTTGTCCGATATCAGCGAATGGAACAAATAAGCAGTTGCTTGGAGCGAAAAAGATGTGTGTAAAATTGATGGTTGATATCTCAAAAACTGAGGGACTASTTCGCGTATATACAGCCGGACGGCTKAARTTGACTCAGCTCAYCATACTGATCATTTAGGGGATTAGACTTCGCACGCGGTAAGGCATGACTTTCGTAGAAATATAAGCATAGTCTTGCCAGAAAATTGTTCTATAATATTTAGCTTGAACTGAAATTATAGACTTTGAATGAGATTCTACCAATGAAAAGACATTTGAAGTTCAAGCTACAAATGCCTTCAGCCATGCATTGAATGGGTGCTCAACCGGAAGTAGCTTAGACTACTAGGCCTGACCAGAGACTTAGTTCTGGTATCACGGAGAGCAGTAAGCACTTGGAGTTCGCTTCAATCTGCTCATCGAGGTTGGACCTTCGGGGACATTCGTGGTTGCTATGGTTTAAACTCAAATGCGGGTAGAACTGACTATGTGGAGTCACATAGTGGACGGGTGCTAGACTCAAAAGTGCGGCAGAGTTTTGAGATGGGCCTCWTACCCGACCAAGGTGAAATTAGGTGTTCGTTCCACCTTACCTTAGGACGCAGTGTTGAACGCTTTGCTCTTGAGCACCGTGGGGTTAGGTCATCGAGGTTAGGTACCCACGTTAAATTCAATGGATGTTGTGTATAGAGGTATAAAAACTGTTTCATGGCGATCGTGTAAACCTTTTGAGTGAAAAAGTGATGAATTTTAGTTACGAGGGAGGTACAAAAGGACAAACTTGAGGGTACGATAAAACACAAACGATAAAAAACAAATTTCGGTTGTAAAGCTATAAAAATTGTACAGAGAAAAGCTGTTYAGTGAAAAAGTGATGAACTTTATTTTGGAGTTGGACCAGATTAAACTTATATAGTAACATAACAAATTAGAACTTATAATAGTACCATATCAAATATCGGTCGTAAAGCYATAAAAATTGCATAGAGGTGCGAGAACCCTTGGAAATTTCCTGCAATTAAACAGGCATTCGAAAACTATTRGGATTTTCCCCTTCATTAGAAAGTATTTTATGACTCTTAGTTCGAATAAAGTTGTCACTAATATTGCTAATCAGTAATATCCTTGGTTTGTGTAAAACTCAGCAACATTTTTTCTTTTCATTTCCTTCAATTTCGAACCATTCATACTTCCCTACAATACCATATTCGTTCACAAAGTCATGGTAATATTCTAACCATGTTGTAAACACACGCGCGCACTACTCTAATATTCATTACAATTGGATTTTTTTTTTCAATGGTCAACTGCTGTTGAAGGTGATGYCCTCGACTTTGAATGTCACGGAAACTCCTTGTTGAAGTGGTGTGTAATTAAATGGTAAAAAATTTCTATATTATTTGATGAATTACAAAACTAAAGTGTAGCGTGTTGACACGATGACATAAGGGTTGAATGTGGTGAAAGAAATATTAATTAATTATTGATATAATCTATTGGACAATCAAAAGGATTTTCATTGCAATAAAAAATATGAAATATTAGGTTGAAAATTCATTTTTTTTTTTCAAAAGCGTTGAACAAAGTAATGTTATTTAAGTGATGATTAAATGTTTTTTCGTTACTTGAGAATATATTTACATATCTAGACACATAAAACTTWGTTTCAAGGTCCATTACTTACTTATGAATTGGGATGCGATGTCGGAAACTACGCACAGTCCAATGAACAATGGCTATACCCACGTTAGCGCCCGTTATAATGATCAGTATGCCCTTTATGGCGCCAAACAGGTAACCGGAAGTGAGCATCAGCACAAAGTAACCCACTATTATTGGAAAGCTGACTATCATAAACGAGACCAACAGTATCGACACTATAACCCAGGGATTTTGCATTTCGATCCAGAGCAGGAATTGTTTGGTGTAGTCGCGCGTCAGGTAGGCAAAACATAAAAATGCTACAATTGCGACCAGCAACAGCAGGAAACCAATGACCATTTTTCGACTACACCAATTGCGATTGCGCGCCTTAATCGMACCACGTGTATTGCGACGTGTACCGCTTGCGTTGCTGCTATAGCTGGCGTCAATACCGCCGAAGGCGTTAGCAGTTGGCGGCATAAGCAGATCGTTTTCGTCGTCAAGATCGACGGCCGCATCGTTGTCGTAGTTGTTGAGCGTGTTGGAGGTGAGTTCGAGGCTGGTTGAAGTCGCTGCATACACTATACCTCTATAACTGCTGCTGACAATTTCATCGTCCGTTAGACTAGTAGCAATACGTCCATTGGAATAATTTTGTTTGAGCACGATCGTTTTAGGGCGTATGCTACCGCTATAACTGTTACTTTTATGCAAAGACKTTGGCGGAAATGCATTATAGCTGGCGTTGGAACGGTAAGCACTTTCTAAGAGTARACGGTCGTCGTCGAAGAAGTTTGCCGGCGCGCGGRTAGGTGTGCTGTTGCATGTGTAGGAATCTTTAGCACGCTCRTATGCATTCTCCGTTYTTTCTTCATTATCACTTTCGCTTTGGGCATTATGYCTGCTTGTTGTCGCTGTTGTGGTGTGGGTGGCAACTTGTGGTACGCAGTAGTATGCCGCCTTGCTGTTTTTGTTTGACTGATGCAGTGACCATTGTGGCCGTCCGCTTGATGAAATCGCGTTAAAGTTCAAGGTCGCATTCATGTTTTTTAGTTTTTAKTTGGTAATTAGTGCAATTTTTGGAAATATGCGGTCACACATACATATAAACATTTGTCTGTTGGAATGTTTACGCCAATTGGAGTAGTGAATTATGCATTTAATTTTTGAAAACAACTCAACTGTGCAAGAAGAAAATATGTCAAGCAAAATTATGAAAAGAAATGTGTTTGTACGAATTCTTCAAATACCGCGCCGGTTTCATACGAAATGCTGACATCTAATTGGTTTTATTTATAAAACGAAAACATGTCAATTTTCATATTTCACTCAATTTAGCGCAGTGCTGTCATATACAAAACAAAGCCATAYGCAGCCTCCGTTGGGCGCACACCTCGCTTGTTGGTTATGTATTTATTTACTTGTAAATATGTTTGTATTGTGTTTTATCTGTCTGTGGCTTGCCATTTGCTTTSCGCCTGCGAAGGCCTGTACGTTTTGCGTCGATGGGAGACGGCCCTGACTTTTTTATTTATCTATTTTATGTATTTTTGTTTTGCTTTTCACAACAGCCTTTGTTTCGCTTTTTCTTTCGTCACAATTTGTGCATAGCCAATAAGCACTGAAAACACTTCCAATTCACTTTCTTTTGCGAATGCAGTAGCAGCGTTTAAACACATACACATACACATACAAATAAATATGCACACACATGCCTTTGTATTTCTATGGTTATAAGACAATTATCACAGCAACTCAAGTATCAAGTTTAGTTGCGTTTTATAACTTCAGATTGATTTTATAATGAGTCGATTACATCGAAACACAAGCATGCTGTAACACGTAAGTTATTACCGWTCCCACGACAGTCGGGTCTACGAAAACCGGAACGGAGCCGGATTTTTATCCGGCCAGGGACTGTCAACTCGGCAGAATTCTGCCGTTACAACAACAACAACAAAAACGTAAATTATTACAAAATTAATTTTTCGTATAGCATAATAAATTGTAGCTGGCAAACGGTGCTTTACATGTCATGTTTATGTTTTTTAATTTCAAAATCACACAATACTCCTGCATGAGATTTAGTTACATTAATAAGAAACCAAACAAASACACAATGCAACACTCAAAGGATGCACCAACATTGCGCAAAATAATCTCCGTGTTTGGTCCCGTTGTTAATCTCGATTCTTTATGTACTTCATTTTGCTGCTTTTGTAACAAAATATCAGTTACAAAATACTCTTCAGACATAAATATGAAKTTATTATTTCAATTTGCACATATTTTTTGTTGTTTTTGCAAACTAGGCGTATWGAAAGCAACTCTTACTTGTTATTAACTACAAAAGTTTAACCGCTTTTATTATCATCTCACATTCGATTTATTCAAGCAACTGAATTTGACTTTCTTCGCTTTTGTTGTTGTGCTTTTTATTTCATGCGAATGGGAATATGTAAACAACAAAAATCAGCTGTTCAGGCTGTGTTCATTGCCCTGCGCAAAAAGAAATTTACAGGTGCTTTTAAAATACTGGAAAATACTCTTCGGTATTTAATACAAGATATATATTTAGTGAAATTTTGTCATATAAAGAGGACAGAAATAGAAACTCTAAATTTTTTTAACCAATTATAAACAATAACTTATCATAACCAATATATGTATGTGTGCGCCAATAAGTGTTATTGTCAAATTACTACCAATGCAACTCTGTTATTCGTTACCTCCCACCAGCTGATTTTTGCATGCTTATTTCACTTGTTTTCTTCGCAAATGTTTTTTGAAATATATAGTGCAAAATGTTTAAATWTTGTTTGTCACAATTCGTTAAAGAAACTATAAAAAATCTCAACAAATCGCAAACATATGCATTCAGTATTTCCAAAAGTACGAGCGCCAGTGTGGATGCTCTACTACCAAAAGCTCTCGAGAACAACAAGCAGACAACCGGCAAAAATCCTCTTCAAAACTATACCGCAGAGCAGCAGGACAAAATTCTTACAATTGTGAATAAAGATGCAGAGCTTTTGAAGTAAATATATTTATTATATAATATTATGAAAGAGTAAGTTAAATATTTATATTAGTTATGATATAGCTAAAACACGTGCCGTGAAATTAGTGACATGGAAAAAACGTAATGGACCGTTGCGGAGTTTAGAAGACATACTTCAAATAGAGGGTTTTAGCTTGAGGATTGCCGACAAATTCTACAAAAGTATGCTTGGGGGACATGTTGATGAGGGTAAAGGTTAGTATGCGCAYACATAACTTGAATAAGTTGCGATAATACAAAAATATTAAATAATAGCGGCGACTTCTGCACGTAGGCGTACCGCTGGTTTCATTACACCAGCCATAGATGTTGAACATCGTGCGTTATTACGTTCCTGTGTTTCTTTACGTGTTGGCGTTTCGAGCATAACTTGGGCACGTCTGGAACTACCGGAATCCGAAAACACAAATGCACCATGTMATTTGACACATTGGCAGCATCACGACATCACCGAGAAAAAGCTTCATTTAGGTGATTTAGTACATCGACTATTATATGTAGATCATCTTATACCAAACGCGGATTGCTATATTTTCGAGAATCCTCAAACGGCGATAAACAGCAATCCAGGAAATGTGGATCAGCAAAATATAARCATACAAAAATCACAAGTTACAGCGGTGCTGGCATACGCATTATGCACGCGAGGCAGATATGCTGAAGCATTGAAAAATGGGCATGAAATATTAAGTGATGCTAACAAAAAAACCGAAGAAACATGGCCAAATGTTTTTTATCTGCGTCGCTTTTTGACGGCACGATTATTTAGCCAATTGGTGGGCACCGAACGTGTGTCTTCCGAGGAAACTATACTTCAGCTTATGCGTAACCATTACAATGTGTCACAATTAATACTTGATGATGAGAGTGAAACTGGGGGATATGAGAAGGCGAATGATGTATCCTTTCGGCGCAACGTACAATTTCCGTTAGCACATCGTGATATGTTTTCACAAGCAGAGCGTTATCAACGTGAATTTTTGGGTCARGCGCTTTTACTTAATGTGACATTTATGCGTTTGGTAGTTCTGCAAGATGCAGATAGTATCGCAGTTGTGACGCGTARTCCTAATAAAACAGAATTAGAGCAGTTAAACTGACGTGATCGCTATATTGTTCCTTCTAATGTAATTAACGTTTGTAAATTCATACAAACAACTGAACCAAAAAAATGTTAATAAAAATTTGTTAAATATATTTTTTTAAATTAATGTTTGTAAACAATTTCGGCAACATTTCTCTGCTTTCTTCATATTTCTTTCCATTCTTCATTGCGTTCGTGTTCGCTAATTAGGCAGCACTGCAAATTGACAGTTGCTTCCAGTGAACAGAAAAGTCATAAACGTGGAATTCTGGAAATTCCTTGCATTTTCTCATCGAAAAAAACACGTCAAAATTTAATCAAAGCAGAAAACTCTAAAAATATTAAAGCTTCTATGCCACGACGAGTGGGAATGATATAAAAAATTCAATAAAGTCGTTAAGTGTATTACTGGTAGTGTCGAGCAGTGTCCTTGGCGCAACAAAAACATACTTTTCTAGTAAATTCCTTTAGCTGAACGCTGTCAAATACCAATTAGCATAACGGCCTATAATAATATTAATAAAAGTGAAATTCTACAAAGTATAATGTCCAATTCAAGCGCAGGACCTACAAAACAGGATATTGAAGCAGTCTTTCATCGGCTACGTTCACAACCTGCCAATAAAGTAAGTACTCAACATTGCTCAAAACAGTGTAGGGAAAACCTATTCGCTTTTATATGGCACCTGTTAAAAGACTGTTTGTCAAAAATTAGTCTGGTGTCTTCGAAAAACAGCACAACACAAGCTTTTTCTTAACTAATCAATTCTAAACAAAAAATATACAAAYTCCACATAGGCTTGCTTTGATTGCTCGGCGAAGGCGCCCACTTGGTCTTCCGTTACGTATGGCATTTTTATATGCATCGATTGCTCTGCAGTACATCGCAACTTGGGTGTCCACTTGACSTTTGTACGCTCAACAAATCTTGATACCAACTGGACTTGGGTGCAGCTACGTCAAATGCAACTAGGTGGTAATGCAAATGCGGCACAGTTCTTCCGTCAACATAATTGTAACACCACCGATGCCCAGCAAAAATACAATTCGCGTGCAGCTCAATTATATCGCGACAAGTTGGCAGCTTTGGCACAACAGGCTATGAAAATGCACGGCACAAAGGTATATAGAATTCCTTAATTGTTGAAATAATTGATTGTTTACTTTTAAAATTTTAATTAATTTTTAAAAATGTTATTGTTAAACTCTTCGTTATTAAAATGTCGTTTTCGAATTTCAATGTTAACTTTTGTTTGTTTATGCTTTGAAGTTCATTATTTGTAACATTTACTAACTTGTTGCCTCTGTATAACGCCATAATTTTTCATACACGCCTTCTAATGTACCTGCACACACACACATATATATGTAGTTACATTTGGAGAATACCGCAGATAAGGCCGATGGAAATGAGTCAAAATCCACCGCTGACGCCGAGGAAGATTTCTTTGCTGAGTGCACTAATGACAACAATAAGAAAACGTTGTTCGACAACAATAACGGTGAACGGGAAGTGAAGGTAAGTGCCAACGAAGCATGTTTCACACACTGCCTTTGCCTACCTCATTGTGTTAATCYTTGTTTTACAATTCCTTTATTTTTTTGTTATAACATCTGTGTTTTTTTATATAATTTAAGCTGGATATTATAACCAAAACTGCCACTCCAACGCTCTCTAAGGACAAAGCATCCACTGAAAACATTAGTGCAGGTGCACCGAGTGTAGATTTTCTCAATTCCGTTGTACCACCGTCGGTTGTGGCACCTTCAATAGGTGTGCGCAAGATTCAGCCAAAGAAATCCGGTGTAAGTGTATATTTTTAACACTCAAAACCAATATTAAATACACGCTTTTCATTTATAGTTGGGAGCGCGCAAAGGTGGTCTCGGCGCTACCAAAGTAAAGACGAATTTTGCTGAAATCGAACAACGTGCAAACTTAGCTAATCAATGCAAGGAGGCGCCAGTAGTGTCCGATAAGCCACAAACTATTGAAGAGCAGATCGAGTCAGTGGCTAGCATGCGTTTGGCATATAAGGATTTGTCATTGCAAAAGACACGAGAAGAAGAGAAACTAAAATCGGTGGATCCAGCTAAGGCAAAGCAAATGGAGCGTCTTGGAATGGGTTTCAGTTTGCGCGGGTAGGCAATTTCACTTTGGTAATGGATAGCACTATTATGTGGTGCACTGACGACTCGAAAACAGCAAGGAATTTGCTATTATGTGGTGCACTGACGACTCGAAAACAGCAAGGAATTTGTGCAGGGGTCGCAGGACCGCTTACCAAACTTTACATATGTACCTATGCGACGTGTTGCGAGCATTTAGAATTAGTTTTTGCTATATGTCAGTGAGTAGAGATAAACCTCCAAAGCAACTATCGCAATGAAACTATAGCAATACTTGGCGATAGTCAAGAGGCACTTAAAATGATCTCAGACGAGATTAAATCGCTATTGGTGTAGCAATGTATATAACATCGCAACCAAGTCTACCTTATCTATGTGTCAGGTCACAAGGGTACAGCTGTGAACTGCTCCGAAAGGAGAAAAGAGTGCGCAGGGAAAASTATTGGCAACAACTCACAGGCATGCGGCTGATAATATTGTTATGGGTGTTTACAACCTTATTAGATTTGAGAGTGTAATCCGCATTCTGAGAGACAAATTTCGGCCACTGTCGCATTTTACACTGGTCACTGCATGCTCAAGAAGCACTTTTTAATATCGGTCTATCTTCTGGTGCAAACTGCCGGTTCTGCGACATGGATCGGGAAACTCATCTGCATCTGAYGCTAGATTGCATGGTATCCTGTAGACGTAGTGTCGAGTCCTTGTATCTATGTATGTGAATAGAAATCACCTAGTCTCAATAGCACCCAGATGTATACTGAAATTTATCTGTGTGCTGGGTTTTTGTGCGTTGTTATGACGGATGGGAGGGCAAATTAGACCTTAAGTCGCGTTGAAAACCTCAAATCTTTCTACTCTAATGTAAGTATTTAATTTTACTATTAGATCGGATATTTCGCATTCAGCACTAAGCGACATGGAGACCATACAGCAAACGTCAGCACCGAAGACTCAGGCTAAAATGTCTAACTTTCTCCGTAATGAGGAATTGGCTGATATTGATAATGTGCTAAGTGACTATTCGAGCCATTTATATATCGATAATGTGGCTGCGCGTGGCAATGGTGGTGTGAAGAGTTCGAAACTGGATAAAAGTGAATTGGAAATGATGGGCTTTGAGGCAATTGAACCGATTGGTGGTGGACATTCCAATATTACATCAATGTTTGCTGGCGCTGATGGTGATGCTAAACAAAAGCCATCTGCAAAGAGCACAACGTCTCGTAGCAGCGACAGTAGCTCGCAAAAAACTGCAAATAAATCCAAAAGTATGACTTTCGATGAAACTTCGGCACAACAGAAATTCGGCAGTGCTAAAGGTTTCGGTTCGGATCARTTCTTTGCCAATGACCCGAGCAAAAGCGAGGGAAGAACAGCCAACCTGACGCGTTTCCAAAACTCTGATAGCATATCATCATCGGAGTACTTCGGCAGAAATGAAGGCAATGGCGTGCGTGGACAAGGATCACGTGATGGTACGTGTAGAAGCAGYAGCATCAATTAAATACATACAAAAATAAAAACTTATTTAATTATTCCAGCCGCCGCTGTGGTTTTCCAGGCGCCCGACTTGGACGATGTTAAGGAGAGCGTGCGACAAGGTGTGCACAAGGTTGCTGGTCGCCTAAGTTCGATTGCAAATGATGTCATGTCATCGATTCAAGATAAATATGGCTACTGATCGAAAGTGTTGTTGCGTTTTGTATCTGGGCGCACTTTCCATTTACTATGCATAGTTAATAATTGCATTTGAAAGCGTATATTATTGTTCAAATTCAACGGAAACAAAAATAAATCAATTATAGGCATATAAAATTGCTAGAAAACTATTAGAAGCATATAAAATCAATCAATTACAGCAAGGCAAATAGTTTTCTATAAATATTCAGAAAAGAAATTATAAACTCAATCAACTCAATTTACGAAACAAAGATATTTAAATGCTAACGGCACGAGTATAGTTAGCTTTGCGCCATTTCACGTTGATGTTTTTCATGATAATTCTCATGAAGTTGTTTCAAATTATTTTGCCATACACTCTTACTCTCTTTTCCGAAACTGTCTACTTATTTTCATTTATACAAATCTACGCGCTTGTTTTGCCGTTATTTTGAACTTTTGTATCACAACCGTTTCTTTACCGTTATTTTAAAGATTGTTATCATTATTCAAGTAGTAATTGGCGCTTTTTTCCATTGTATGTATGTATTTAGCTGGTGAGCAACGCATTGTAGTGAACACCATTAGGGAATAAGTGGAAATATGTATGTATAATCAATTGTATAAATAAAAAGGTTTTAAATTTCCAAATTTTTATGTTGTTAAGCTTGTACTTTTTTACCCTTTGCTTTTCAGTAACTTTAAATTCCATTAGCAATTCTTTAGATGTTATAGAAACTAAAAAATATATGGCGGTTTAGAATAGTAACTGAACTTGTTGTTTGTAAACTTCAAAATACATATTTTTTCAATTTTAAAATATTGGCTTTTAAATTTATAGTTTTTTTTTTTTA